GAGAGAGAGAGAGAGAGAGAGAGAGAGAGAGAGAGAGAGAGAGAGAGAGAGAGAGTTTTCATCGGTCGGTTGCCTCCAGCCTTCTTGCATCACCTGGCGCATTTGCTTTTGCGAGCGAAGCCGCAACAGGTCGCCTAGTCAACAGTTATTTGTGTAGCATTCAGCCACCAGGCAGTTGGACGAAAGAGATGTTATGAGGAGGCCAGGCGCAGGAAAGAGAAGAACGTGCAGGGTTGTGACACTTCTCGAGCATGCGGACGTGTAATTATGTAATCCGACACCATCTCTGGAACAACTCTTCCACCCATGCTCAGTGAACCCTTATTGGTCTGTCGTTGCATCTCCCCTCCCCTCCCCTCCCTTCCCTCCCTGCCTTCCTATATCGGATTTGGCAGTGTCGGGATCTACATGCTACTGTTTTTTCATACATTTTGCCATTTTCAGTCGACAAATGAAATCGGTTTTAAGCTGTGGGATACCATGCTAGGCACCCACGCTGCCTCCGTCTGCCTGTAATGCCCGACCGGGCAAGGTACTTGGCAGACCCAGTGCAAAATAAAAGAACAATAATAAGTATTAACAACGAAATTCTGGTAAAGAAAATGGTGTAGAAGACTAGAAGTGCATTACGAACAATTTTGGCTGATGGTCATTGGATTGGCTAATGAGCCTGGCTCATTCCATTGGGTCACCTCAAACTAGGTAAGGGATGCTGGGCGTGGTTCCCAGCAATGTAATAATATGCTTTTGTCGGGAAAGAACGCAGTTCGTTATTGGGTTGAAGATGAACAAAAGAAAATAATACCTAGCCCATGTGGCTGACTGGTACACCCATATAACTACTGATAAACAAACCTGTGTATGAAGTAGCTCTCAGTGACCGGTGTTTGTGATGAATGCTGCACCGATTGGCATGACATTTGCCAGCATTCGGGCTTTGTTGAGGGCAAGGATCTTTGTGCAGAAATTCAATGCATAGCTGGTTGTTTGTAGAGCGGAAACAAAACAGATTGGAAAAGGAAGATCAAGATTTAGAAAGAGTGATTTAAGAAGGGAGACTACGAAAAACAGATTTGAAAAGACGGATGTAAGAAAGAGAGAACTAAAGAGACAGATTTAAACCACCAGTACCTTGGGTCGTCTTTATCCCATTTTGGATTTCTGCTGCGCACCAATAGAAATTGAACAGGCCCAGTTTTTGTTTTCTTTTTCCTGCCCGGCGCCGCCAGCCATTTTGGTCTGATTGTGCAAGCCCTGAAGGACCCGGTGTGTTGATGGCTGCGTCGGAACAAAATGGCTGGGAAAGGTACTTGTGGTTTAAAAAGTCAATTGTGCATGATTGGTCCTGTATGTAATAACACGTGGAGTTACCATAGAAGTGCGTCTACGGTTTGTGCTCTCAAAGTTTTCCATGGTATCTGTTGCCATTGCAGGGTGATCTTGTCACCATTACTTCGCGGCAAGAGCTGAGATTGGCGGAGGCATGTGCTTCTGTTGCATCAAGTGTAGCCACGGCCTCCTCCACTGCACCTCCGCTGTCCAGTGTTGGTGAGCAAAGCTTGTCAGGTTCACCACCCACTGAGCCGTTGATTGCACAGACGGGGTTCCAGCCGCCATCAACCTCTGTCACAGACAACAGCACATCTGCAGTTGCAGGCCCACTGAAATCCGGTGGCCGAGATGCCTTGCCTTTACTGAAGTTTCATATCGTGGAAGTGCCACCAGAGCAGGAACCCTGCATATTGGATGATGACGAGGAGGTCGACAAGGAATCAGTGGAGGATGTGTCTGCTGTCACTGGGCCCGTTGAGGCTACGGCCAATGGTGAGGTGAGCAATGGCGCACAGGACGCTGGTGAAAGCGGTAAGGATTCTGTGGAGGAAAAGTTGCAAGACGGTGAAGACAGAGGAGGAGCCAAAGGGTCGGATGCACAAGCAGTCAACAACTACCATGACCGTGAGAAAATGTCGGCTGATGCGGATGGACCTCCTGGTGACGAGATTGAAATTGATGACTGGCTGTTCGATTTCGCGCAGCTGTTCAGAAACCAGCTTGGTAATTTACTAATTTGAAATTTCTATTTTCTTTTGTCTATGCCCTTTCCGCCTTATCCTATTCGTATATATGTGACAAAATATAGTGATAGAGAACTGCCCGGTGAACCGTAGGCAGAAAGGGAGAACAGAATAAGCAACAAGGGGGGGGGCTGTGACAGACTGTTCGCTGGTTCTGCACCGACTCATCAGGAGGCTCTGAAACTCTGGCGAAACAGTGTGTCACAGCCCCCTGTTTCTTGTCGTTTTCTCCATTTCTGCGGACAGCTCAGCGGTCATTTCTCTATGATGATATGTATAGTCACAGAGAACTGTCCGGTGAACTGTATGGCAGAATGGAAGGAAAGGACAAGAAATGGGGGGCTGTGGCAGTCGGCTTCGCCGGATTCCTCCTACTGTATGTATTTGCAGTCTATGGACTTGATTGCTCCAATTTTAATCATCGATTCAAAATCGGTCAGCATGTGTGGATGAGTGCCTGAAATCTCTCCCTCTTTTGATGTCTGAATTAAATGCAATTTTTAACGCATTCACAGCTCTTCAGATGCTGTGCGTTCGTCTACCTAGGCTACCGGGACTGCATGGGTGTGCATGCCCAGCTGGGCACCTGTCCAGGTCCCATGGCCGTCCGCCCGGATGGGGTACCCGGGGCATGTATCTGGGAATTCTTTTCCCCCTTCTGTGGGGATTTTCTGCACCCACCAAAAGCAGCCTAAATCTGGGTTCATTATTTGTCTTAAGTGCTGTCCGTGGAGGGGGGCAAGGGGGTGCCTTTGATTTTTCACTTCTTGCCATTGTTTGTTTTATCTTCGATTTCTTAAACCACCACTACCTCCAAGCCTGTTTTTGCCGGCCCTGATTTTCACTGCGCACCGAGTTTTGCCGAGCCTGGTGTCCGTTGTGTTTCTTTTCTGGTACTCTTCTGAAAAAGAAAAAGAAAAAAAGCACAGCCAGACTTTAAAAAAACGACGTACTCACAACCACAAAAAAGAAAAAGAAAAAAAAGCGAACACCCCTCTGGACGTGATACAAGGCAGATACCTTTCCCAAAGTTGTGACAGTATGCCCTCAGTGAGGGCTTTATGGCAGGGCTGCCAAGTCCACGAAAAAAGAGAAGGAAAACAGAAATTGAGACTGAACACAGGGCGGGAAAGCGGGCTCATACATTCTGCAAAGTTGTAGTGTGGGCATGCCCTCCTTCACAAAGTGTCAGCAGCCCGTGGACTGCGCTGTGCCTCCCTGGCAGGGCATGAAAGCAAAAAAAAAAGAAACAAAACAAAAACAGCAGCAACGACAACCTGAGGGCATACTAACAATGCGACCCCAAATCCGCAAAATATGCGGATTTGGGAAGGGCCGGTTTGAGGTTTTGGGCATGGTTCACGTCACACTGATGTACCTTTTCAGATGGGACAAGGTTGTGGCTGTCTGGAGAAATGGGGATTTGGTACTTGGCTGGTCGCACGGCGCCATCGACAAATTGTGCAAGAACTTTTGCCGAATTTTGAAGAAAATGCAAAAAAAACAAAAAGGGCATTTGCGGTCACCTCCATAGGTGACCGCAAAATCTCTTGCCCTGCGGCTTCCCAGGCCGCTGACAAATAGGCACAGGAATAGTACATTTGCGAATTTGGTAGTTCCGTGTGACCGGCCTCTTCCCCTTTTTTTTGGGATTTTGAGAATACAAGTCCCCGTGTGAGTATGCCCTGAAACTGGCCACAATCGTAGTTAGACACTTTATTGTTAGTATTGGTGTGAGCACAACTTTGTGCATGGCCTTCGTGGACTTGGTCTTTTGTTTTTCTTTTTGCTTTTCAAAGGGGCCCACAAGGCCCAACTGCCGAGCCTCCGCTGCCCCCTGAAAAGTTTGGAAAAAGTGGGAAAACAGCCACTTTTCCCATTTGTCCCAACACTGTTGGAGGTAGTGGTGGTTTAAGGAATTCTGAGGTGACCCTCAGCCAAAAGTTGTATGCAGTCAATTCTACACAACGTACTTGTCCAGCTTTTTTTGTTCACTTTATTTTTAATTTTTATTACTTATTCTCTTGGGCTGGGCCGGCTTGGCACCCTGCCTGGGAGTCCTGCCCGGCCAGGCATGGGTCTGGGTGCATAGCACGTGCCTGGGTGCAGGGTTGAACAGCTCAAGCATTTCGCTTGGGATCTAATCAACACTTCGTGCCTCCAGGCTCAGGCTTGATTTATCAAAGTGTAGGTACTTGACCTATCAATTTTCATTTCCAAGCGGGATTAGATTAACACAATTGCCTAACGAGTAAGGGAGGCGTGCGAAGGTAGGCTCAAGCTAGCGCTTTGCGCAACTGTAGAGCGTAATGGTCAAAGCCTGCCTGACTGTGAGACCTACAAGCCGAACAGAGACGGAAGTCGGCCATAGTGATCCGGGGGGCCCGTGTGGAAGGGCTCTCGCTCAACGGATCAAAGGTACGCCGGGGATAACAGGCTGATGACTCCCAAGAGCTTATATCGACGGAGTCATTTGGCACCTCATCATCTTGGGGTACTTGCACAGTAAGCCATCTGAAGTATTTCTCTACCCAGTTTTTAAAATTTGAACTTCAAAAGGTTCGAGTTCTTCTGGAAATTCATCAACATTGGAGTGATACAGAGAAAGAAGATTAGCATGGACCCTGCAAAAGGATAACCAAGAAATGGTCAAAATTTAAAATTATGTAAAAAAAAGGACAGATTTCTCATTTGTTGGTAGATAATCGACTCGCTGCTTCCCCGTCTCTAATACTATGCTTTTTCTGGTGGCCTCTGCTGAGCATAATTGTAGGGTTAGTGGACTGAGTCTGACGTCTCTGAACTTGCATCCCAACTTTTGTTTTCCTATACGGAGCTGCTGAACGCTTACACTGTACACTCGTATGCTCTTCATGCCGCATATTCATCAGGCATTTTGACAGCACAAGATGCCGGGATGGGGTGAAAAAAAAAAGAGTGGCAACCAAATGCCGTCCGGCACAAGATGCAGCAACAATGGTAGATAGCAGAGTGGTCTTGTGATAAGACACCAACTTTTGTGGTTGCAGCTTCGAATGCAAGTCTAGGCACAAGCAATTCAGTCAGGGCCAGGCGGGCCCCATTGACACGTGTGCTCTTCATGCCGCATATTCATCAGGCATTTTGACAGCACAAGATGCCGCAATGGGGTGAAAAAAAAAGAGTGGCAACCAAATGCCGTCCGGCACAAGATGCAGCCCCAATGGTAGATAGCAGAGTGGTCTTGTGAGAAGAAACCAACTTTTGTGGTTGCAGCTTCGAATGCAAGTCTAGGCACAAGCAAGTCAGTCAGGGCCAGGCAGGCCTCACTGGTACTATGCTTATAGGTTGAGAACGTACCCAGTTTTCAACCGGCTTCATGCTTCCTGAGCATGAATACATCAATGTACTTGGGCCTGGCTGGGCTTCACAGTCAAGCTCCTGTTTACAAAGCACCAACCACTGAGCTCGTACGATACCTGCCTGCCTGTCTTCCTGTCTTCCTTCCTTCTTTCCTTCCTGCCTGCCTGCCTGCCACTGTTTCGAATGAGGTCTGGAAACGAGGCATTGAGTTACGACGTGGTTGTCCGTATGTTGTTATGTCTCTCTACCGTATGTTCTCTTTCCTTTGCTGTCCCTTTTTTTCACAGGTGTCGATCCAGATGGGCATATCGAGCTGCATGAGTTGGGGATGGAGCTTTGTGCTGAAGCACTAGATATGGTTGCTACCAGCGAAGAGGCACAACCACTTTTTGAGCAAGCTGCCCAGAAGTTTCAGGAAGTGGTGGGTGACCTACCTCCCGCATGGCAAACCACAAAATGGATGCACACATACCTTCCTTGAATACATAACTCGTTATCTCTCAGACAAAAAAAAAGGAAACAATCAGCAGCCCCAACAGGGTTCAAAAATCTTCCCTTTCAATCGTCCTATTGTCTTTTCGGAATCCTGTTTGTTAATCCTTTTTGTCTCTTCTAAATCCTATTTGACTTTTTTTACTCTTATTTGTGTTGTGTGAATCCGATTGGAATCCTATTTGTTGTTTGTTTTTTTCCCCCCTTGTTTTTCTGCATCCTATCTGTTGTATTCCTCCTCGTTTCCTTGTTGGGTTCGCTTACCCTTAGATTAGTTTCATTTTCTCTTAGAGAAGGCCTTATTAAAAACTATTGGCAGCACAGATGAGCTTCTCCTGTTTTCCTCGTGTTCTCGCAGAGAGTGGGGAGAGAAAGGAGGAATCTGTCATTTTTCCTTTTCTTAATTCTTGCGCTTATGTAATCAGAACGTGCCTGAACTTCACGTTTCGATGGTTCTTAGTTCTTTTGATTCTTTTCTTAGTTCGTGATTCAGTGCTGCGGTCGTCATCAAAATATAGTGCACTGTAATGACCAGCCAAAACACAGACTGAGAACACTGTTGATTTCTGAGTTCTGCCGCTGGAATGGATGCCTTGCTGAGATCCCCGCATTCCGCTGAGTTTTCTAAGTCTGTGCTTGTGTGTGTGTGCTTGTTGGTCTTCATGCCTGTCTGAGTGCTGGTCGGCCTGAGTGTGTGTGTGACCCGCAAGGGTGCTTGCTTGTTTGGAGACCCCTAGGGCCGGTGCTTACCTGTGGCCGTGACATTGAGGGTTGCAGTGGGCGAAAAACGCTCAAGTGGCGGGGCATGAGGCCCGCGACACTTAGGGGAGCTGGGAAACACTCAAGTAGCAGGTAGGCCGGTACCACACCAAGTAGAAGTACTCTAGGCCGAGCAGAAGATGACAAAAGTTGGCATTTAGAGGCCCAGTAGTTGTAGGCTAGGTCTAGGCGGGTATCAGTCCAACCAGTCTGAGTCTAGGGCCTGTACGCAGTGTACGGGCAATATCAGAGTCTGCAATGATGTTTCCCTCCGAAAGGAAGGAGGTAGGTACCAGTTGCTTGGAGCCCGCGCGCCCTAGGAAGTCTCCGTCCAAGAGGCAAGTAGGCCGCTATATCTCCAGGAGGATCAAATTGCCCCTCATTCTTCAGTGTGCAAGTTCGGCGACACACTGTTTGGAGCGCTGGCAGGAGGAGCGCTGGGCAGTTCAGCGCTGTAGGAGGAAGGAGACCAGAAGCTCCCACTTTGGCTATGGTGGAGCTCTACCGGTAGGAGCAGGGCGAAGAGGAATGAGGAGGAGAGTGGCGAGGTACCTACCTGGCTATGGTGGGCACCATCTTCATCACCTTGTGGCGCTAGATCAGGAAGGCCCCAGTTGGGGTTGTGCCGCACCAAGAAGGCTTCAAGGCGGGGTAAGGCATGACGGCCTGAACAGCAGCGTGCATAGCTGCTTTGTGTTGTCCTTTGCACAGAAGGGCGATGCTTTAGTAGTCAGCCATAGCCTTGGCCTACATGAAGAGGAAGGAGAAGGGTGGCCATGGCTATGGTGGACCTCATGTTGTGCCTGCAGTAGAGGGATTCGGACATTGATTCTGGTTCTTCTCGGGACGGTACTTCCCACCAGTAGAAAAAAAAATTGAAATCATGGTTGGACTGCACTTACCGAGATCTCCCCTAATCCGCGAAGAAAACTTTGAACAGAGAAGTTCGTTTGGGGGGCTGGGGGTTGGGGGGGGGGGGGGGTATTTCAGGGGTTGAGGGGCAGGGGTTGGGGGGTATATGGTGAGGGTGTTAGTGGTGGGGTTTCAGCAAGCACCGGCTTCAGCAGACATTGACAACAACGTACCTGGCTTTCTTCAAATATAACCTCCTGTCCTAAACTTTGTGGGCTGGGGTTGTTAGTGGCAGGGTAGGGATGGTACTTCCCACCCAAAAACTTTGAAAAAGGGGGGTGAGGGTTGTAGTGTTAGGGGGCGCTTGTCACTGCTGTCTGGTCCAAGTTCTCATCGATACTGGTAGGGTGATGGGCCCGGGTGCTGGTCACACTGAGGTAGGATAGTAGGGTTAGGGGGCGCGCAGGGAGCATTACCGTGGGGAAGGGTAGGGAAGGAGGCCTATCCTGTGAGGACAACCACCGGCTGCCGCTGCCAGCGATCACCATGGGTCTAGTCCTTGGCCTCAACAACACCCTGGGCTTTAAAAAAAAAAAAAAAAAAAGCAACAACAATAATTAAAAAAAAAAATCATGCGCTTTGGCCAATTGCGGGGGAACCGGCTCGGTTGACTGGCTGGTAGGACCGGTCCGGTTCCGGTTGGGGGAGGGCCCCCCGGTCCCACCGGGTTTGCAGCACTGTGTACAAGTTTTTTTCTTCTTTCTTTCATCTGTGAGGAACGAGCCCTCAAGGGGCCCTATCAGACATCATATGTTCTGGGCTAAGGCCCCAGCAAGCCGAGTGGCCGTCCTAAGTGAAGGCGGGCCTGAATATTCGTCAAAGGCCAAAATTCGACATTTTCATATGTGGGTATTCAGGCTCTCGCAGCACGCCAGTTGGTTGGGTAGACGCGTGAGCCTCACTAAGCTGCGTCATACAGTTGGCCCAGGCCTTGACAGTTGCGCCTGGGCACGTACACACAAAGCAGGGCCGATACATTGGGAAGCAGGCCATCGGCCTTTGGAAAAGCAGTACTGCCGATGCGCCTACCTGGGAGCCCTGCATGGATGCAGCAAACAGCCCAAGTCCGGAAACTCAGTCCGTGCCCAACTGAAAAGGGCCCAGGCCCTCAACTGTAGTCTCGGGCCTGGCCGCAGGGTCTGAGGCCCAACCGGAAGCTACTGGAAGCTTCCAGCCAGGCCACACGCAGCATCCAGGAGGCTTCCACTTCGATAAAAGAAGTGAGGCAGCCTAGGCCAGGCATTCTGGCCAGTGCAGGCACTGCGGAAGTGCGGCTGTGGTATCGCTTGATGCTGCGCTGACGGGGCGCGTAGTGGTGAAGTGAGGCGCTGCAGGCAGCGAGGCGCAGGCAGCCATAGCTGGGCTGCTGGGTGCCAGGGGGTAGAGGGCAATCAGGTGGTCTTCGGGGAAGGAGGCGAGTGTGGTTTCTCAAGGTCTGATGAGGGTGACGAGATACGTACCTGGTGCATGTAGAGGTTGGCTATGGTGTTGACATCATGTACATTGGTCTTCGAGAGTCGAAGTGAGCCTGTTGCGTGAACACAGCTGTAGGTAGGCTAGTAGAGTAGAGTAGGCTGGGGCGCTGGGTGCCAGACAGAGAGAAGCGACTTTGGATACTGTGTTGGTGTGGCCTACGGGCTTGAACATTGGCTCATTACATCATTATTGCTCTATTTGGATGTAATGACCTGCCCAAAACACAGACTGAGAACACTGCTGATTTCTGGGATTTGCCAATGGAATGAATGCCTTGCTGTGATTCCCGCATTCTGCTGTGGTCCCAAGTCTGTGTGTGTGCGTGCCTGCTGGTTTGCATGCCTGTCYGAGTGCTTGCCGGATGTGTGTGTGTGCGTGCCTGCTGGGTTGCATGCCTGTCTGAGTGCTTGCTGGTTGGGTATGTGTGTAACCCGCCAGGGTACTTGTTGGTTGCAAGGCCCACCGGGCCGGTACTTACCTGTGGCCGTGACTTTGGAGGGTTGCAGGGGGGTAAACATGCCGGTAGCGGGGAGTAGGCCCACGGCACTTGGAGCAGCTGGGGAAAAACACTCAAGTAGCAAGATGTGTATAAGAGACAGGAGTAGGCCCATGGCACTTAGAGCAGCCGGGGAAAAACACTCAAGTAGCAGGTAGGCCGAGCAGAAGAAGACAAAAAGTTGGCATTTTTAGAGGCCCAGTAGCGGTAGGTTAGAGGTAGGCCGGTACCAGTCCAAGTAGCCCGGGTCTAGGGCCTGTGCGGACAATAACAGAGCCTGCAATGATGTTTCCCTCCGAAAGGGAGGAGGTACCGGTTGCTGGGAGGCTGCTTGGCCTAGGAAGTCACCGCCCAGGAGGCCGGTAGGCCGCTATATCTTCAGGAAGAGCGGTGAGCTCTTCCTCATTTGCGGTATGCAAGGATTGGCGACATGCTGCTGGAGCGCAGCGCTGGTCTGAGGCAGCGCAGCTTGGAGGTGAAGGTCTGCTGGGGCTCAGCCTGGCTATGGCGAGCACCCCAGCTTGAAGGAGGAAGAGCGGTGAGCTCTTCCTCATTTGTGGTATGCAAGGATTGGCGACATGCTGCTGGAGCGCAGCGCTGGTCTGAGGCAGCGCTGCTTGGAGGTGAAGGTCTGCTGGGGCTCAGCCTGGCTATGGCGAGCACCCCAGCTTGAAGGAGGAAGAAGGGGGACATGGTAGGAGAGTGGTAGGGCACTTACCTGGCTATGGTGGACACCGTCTTCATCACCTTGTTGGGCGCTGCATCTGGAAGGCCCCGGTTGGGGTAACGCTGCACCAGGGCAGCTAGAGGCAGAGTCAGGCATAGCAAACGGAGTCAAGCAGCGACATAGCTGCTTTAGGTTGTCTTTCGGGCATCAGGGCAGCATCATAGCTGCCTTCCAGTAGTCCGCCATGACCTATGCTTGAGAGAGAAGGTTGAAGGGAGGAAGACATTGCCATGGTGGACTTGTTGTTGTTGTTGTTGGGTTGTGAGTTGAGTCAGCAGTAAGGGGGAACTTCGGACATTGATTCTGGTTCATCCATTCATTGTTATTATTATTGTTGAGAGAAGAATAAGATTGGTGAAGAGGAGGAAGGAGGAAGGTGGAGAGAGAAGGGGGAATTGTCATTGGTCTTGCTGGTGTACTTCTTCTTCTTCTTCTTCTTCTTCTTCTTCTTCTTCCTCTTCTTCTTCTTCTTCTTCTTCTTCTTCTTCTTTACCTCTCCTCTGGTCTTTATCTCTTGCAAGTGCTTTCATTTCTTTCGCAATTGGGTGGCATTGTCTTT